GTTTCTTGCTTTCTATACTGTTTTTTGTTGTTGTTGTTGTTGTTGTGTTTGTTTGTTTTTTGTACCAGGGATTGAACTCAGGGGCACTTGTCCATAAGCCACACCCCCAGCCCTTTCTTATATTTTATTTAGAGACAGAGTCTCATTGAGTTGCTTAGTTCCTCACTTTTGCTGAGGCTCGTTTTCAACTTGCAATCCTCCTGCCTCAGCCTCCTGAGCCGCTGGGATTCCACTGCACCCAGCTCTATACTTCCTTTAGCTGTTAAATACATATATACCTAACAATTTCTTATGTTTTAGATCTGGAATGTCCCCAAATTCTCATGTTGAACACCACCCCAGCTACTGCTGTTACTGAGAGATGGTAGAAACTTGAGCAGGTGGGACCCAGCTGGAAGAAGTAGGTAACAGGGTGTGTCCTTCAAGGTTCAATATCTTGTCCCTGACCCTTCATTTATCTCTCTCTCTCTCTACTTTCCAGGTGTCATGAGATGTGCAACTCTGCCCTCCACATGGCCCCTGCTATGATGTTCTGCCTCATCACAGACCCACAGCAATAGGGACAACTGACTATGGACTGAAAAATCCGAAACTATAGGCCAAAATAAAACTTTCCTCCTTTAAGTAAATTTTCTCAAGATTTTTATCACAGTGACCAAAAGCTGACTGTATATCCTCTTAATGAAATAGCCATTTCACCATCTATAATCTCCTTTTTTCTCATTACAGTTTTTAGCATAGTCTATTTTGACTGACACAAATACAGATACCCCATTCTCTTTTTGTTTCCATTTGCAAGGAATGTCTTTTCCCATCTCTGTACTTTCCATCTACTTATATCCTTAAAGGTAAAAGGAGTCTATTGTAGGCACTATACAGATGTGTCTTGGATTTTGATGCAATCAGTCCCTATATGCTTTGTGGGCGAATTTAGTCCATTTACATTGAGGGGAGGATACTAGGGATTGAACCCAGGGGCACTTTACTACTAAGCTACATTGATAGTCCTTTTTAGTTTTTGAGACAGGATCTCACTAAGTTGCTGAGGATGACTTGAGATTCTCCCATCTCAGCCTCCTAAATCACTGGGAAGAGGCACACACCACCATGCCTGGCAGTCCATTCACATTCGAAGCAGTTTTTAAAAGTATCATGCTATGGCCAACAGGGATTTATGCCTGTAATGAAAGGGTAATTCAACATATGCAAAAATGAATAAATGTCACACTTCACATAATAAAATGAAAGGAAAAAAAATCAATGCAAACAAAAAAAATTAACAAAATTCAACATCTTTCATGTTACCAGTTACCAATAAATTGGGTATAGAATAAATGTACCTATCATAATGATGATATATAACAAGCAATGGCTACCATCATAACTAAATGACAAAAAGCTCAAAGCTTTCTTTTAAGATCAAGAACAAGAGTATCCATGCTTGCAACTTCTATTTGCCATAATGCTACAAGTTCTAGCCACGGCAACTAAACAAGAAGAAATGAAATGCATTCAAGTAGGAAAGAAGGAAAATTACAAATGACATGATCTTGAATACATAAAATCCTAATAACCCATTTAAAAACTGTTAGAAATAATAAACAAATTCGGGAAAGTGACAGGATACAAAATCAATACAGAAAGTCAGCAGTGGTTACTACACAATTAACAATCTGAAAAATTAAGAAAACAACTTCACTGACAACAACATCAAAAATAGTAAAATACTAATACACTTAACTAGGAAAATGGAAGGTTCATAAATTGAAACCAACATAACACTGATGAAGGAAATTAAAGATGCAAGTAAACAGATGTTCATGTACTGGAGTTGTTAATATTGTGGTAATACCCATTACTGCCAAAAGTGATCTAGGCATTTAATGCCATCCTCTTCAAGATACCAATGGCATTTGTCACAAAACTATTTTAAAATTCCTAAAATTCATTCCAAACCACAAGAGGCTCCAAAAGGCCAAAATAAATAAACAAACAAATAAAATCTTGAACAACAACTGGAAGCATCACACTTTTCAAATTTTTGTATCATAAAGCTACAGTAATCAAAACAGTATGAGCCAGGAGTGGTGGTGCACACCTATAATCCCAGCAAGGGAGGCTGAGTCAGGAAGATTGCAAGTTTGAGCCCAGCCTCAGAAACTTAATGAGACCTGCCTCACAGTTAATAAAAATCCAGGAACAGCCCAATGGTAGAGCACCACTCAGTTCAATTCCTAGTACTGGGGAGTGGGAGGTTGGGAAACAAACAGTATGATATTGGCATAAAAGAAACCCATGATCACATGGACAACTAATGTTGACAAACATCCCAAGAATATAAGATGCAGATGATACCTTGTTCAAAAATGGTAATGAGAAAACTAGATATCCACATGCAAAAGAATACAGTTGGACCACCTCATACTACACTCAAAAACCTGCCGGAAGCCACCCATGACCCATCTGTGAACTGTGCATGAACTAAAACAACGTTGAAGCCATTAGGTAAGAAAGCCTGGTACCAGGAACTCCCAGCAGCAACCCTGCTGGTTTGAGAAGACCTGGTTCATGTGACTTCCTTCCCAGCTCCATTATAAGTTTAGCAGAGCATTAGAGATGGGGTGACCCACTGGAGTCACACAGCCTCTCGGAAATAGGTGTGGCTGCCATAATGCCATTCGACCTGTTTGTGGCAAAACCCCTGCCACACCCAGAAGCAAGACTCTTCCCAATGAGACCTTATCCCTGCCTTTAATGTATGCCCTCTTAAATAAAGAATCTGGGCCATTTTTCAGTTGTTCAGTTCCAGCTCCTATCAGGACTGGAAGTCCCATTAGGCGCTCTGTTTTATCTAATTTCTGGCTCTGTCTCTATTTCTTACTAATTATTTCAGACTTTTTATTTTCTCAGGTGGCTCACACCTCCTGAGCAGAAACCTACTCTGGTGGGGTGCTGGTCACCCCAAATTAAAAACCCATTCAAAATCGATTAGTCATAAACCTGAGGACATGAAATCATAATACTCCTAGAAGAAAACAGCGGGAAAAGCATCATAACACTGGTCTTGGCAATTTTTTGGAGTTCACATCAAAAGCAGAGGCTACAAAATGTAAAAATAAACAAGCAAGCTACATCAAACAAAAGTTTTCTTCACAGCAAAGGAAACAACAAATTAAAAAGGCAACCCTATAATTGGAGGAAATATTTGTAAACCACATATGCAATTATAAGCTAACAATACTATATAGTCATAAGGAAATAAATGTACATTAAATGTAATAGCAAAAGAAAAATCCAATTTTAAAATGGGTAAAGGGCCTGACTATACAATTTTCCAAAGAAGATATAGAAATGGCCAACAGATACATAAGGATGCTCAAAATCACTGGACATCAAGGAAATGAACATTGAAACCACAAAGAAACATCACCTCATGGCTCTTGTGAAAAATCAAGATAGTATTAGAAGGAAACCACAACACTTTTTTTTTTTTAACACCAGGGATTGAACCCAGGGACATTTAACCACTGAGCCATATTCCCAGCCCTTTTCATTTTTTACTTCGAGTCAGGGTTTTGCTAAATTGCTTAGGTCCTCACTAAGTTGCTGAGGCTGGCTTTAAACTTGCAATCCTCCTGCCTCAACCACCCGAATCACTGAGATTACACACAAAACTCTTGTACACAGCTGAATGGAACAAAACTTGGTAGCCATCTGGAGAACAACACTATGGAGTTTCCTCTTAAAATTAAAAATAGGACATCCAAATGATCCCACAATCCCATTATGGATATATATATATCCAAGGAAATGAGTGCCTAATGTTAAATGCAACAATACTGATAATAGCCAAGGTATTGAAACAATCTAAGTGTTCCTTGATGGATGAAGGGATAAAGAAATTGTATGTTGTTTTGTGTGGGGGGGGGAGGAGGAAGGAGGGAATATTTACCCTTAAAAAGAGAAGAAAATTCTGCCATTTAGGGCAACAGGGGTGAATCTGGAGGACATTATGCTATGTGAAATAAGTCAGATAAAAAAACACAAATACTATGTGATCATACTTAAATACAGAATATAAAAGTCAATACAACCACAAAAATGGAATTCTAATTAGAATAAGTTATACTCCATGTATGTATGTCAAAATACGTTCTACTGTCATGTATATATAAAAAGAACAAAAAAATAAAAACAAAACAAAAAAGGAACCTAAAACCCACAGAAACAAAAATACAATTGTGGTAACCAGCAGCTAGGGGAAGGGATAAATGAGATGGTAAAAACTCTCAGTTATGAGTAAGTTCTTGAGACCTTATATGCAGCATGGTGAATATAGTTAATAAAAAAATGTGCTGTAAAACTGAATGTGCTAAGACAGTAGGAAGTGTTACACAACACCAAAAATAAAAGGTCACCATATCGCATAGGGAAATTTTAATTAGCTTGATTGTAGTAATCGTTTCACAAACATATTTTGTACATCAGATTCTATATCCTAAATATATACAATTTTAGTTATCAGTCATATCTCAGTAATATTTGGAGAAAAAGTAAAAGAGGTAAAAGAGCAGTAATTAAACATTTAAAACTGAAAAGTCATAAGCGTACACAAATATTTAAAATATTTGAAATACTGAAACTGCCAAATGTTCAAAAGAAATCTATACCGCCACAAAGAAAACCACACCTCCAACAGCATTTCAGGATCCAGGGAAGCAATTCTCATATCCCATAGATGAACAACTTCTCTTAAGTGTGAATATCACGTTTATTAAAAATTGAAGAATAATGTAATATAAAAAATGACTTGCAAATACTTTTTACTCATGAATTCTTTCTCCATTGGGTATCGTAGGTGACCATCAGAACACTTAGCAGAACTACAACTTTTCCATATCTTATATCTATAAGGTTTCTCTCCACAGTGAGATCCCAAAAAATAGTTGAGAGCTCTCTATGYTTCTGACATGGTACAGCTTCAAGATGAGTTCCTGCATGTTGGATTGTGAGCAGCTTCTGATGACTTCCCCACACTTCTTAAGATCATGGGGCAGCTTGGAATGTGAGTTCTTCCAGGACTTTGATGTGAACTGTGACAGATAAATACTTTATACATGGCTTACATTGATAAGGTTTCTTGCCACTGTGAATCTGAATGTATTACTAAGGCAAGAGGGCTTCCTAAAGCAGTTTCCTCGTTCCTCACATCCAAAGGGTTTCTCGCCAGTGTTTCCATATGCTCAGTAAGATGAGAAGAACTACTAAAGGCCATCCCATAATCCTTACATTTATAGGGTTTTGCTCCACTGTGAATTCTCACATGCTTACTTAGGTGTGAGTAAACAGTAAAGGCTTTCCCACATTCTTTGCATTCATACGGTTTCTCTCCAGTGTGAGTTCTTGTATGTACTGTAAGATACGAAGAACTTATGAAGGCTTTCCCACATTGCTTACATACATAAGGTTTCTCTCCAGTGTGAGTTCGCATGTGAATGTGAAGGTAGGAGGAACACGTAAATGCTTTCCCACACATATTACATTCAAAGGGCTTCTCTCCAGTATGGATTCTTAAATGTGCAATAAGATATGAGGAGGAAGCAAAGGCTTTCCCACATTGGTCACATTCGTAGGGTTTCTCTCCTGTGTGGCTTCTTATATGTTCAATGAGGCCTGAGGATGTAGTGAAGGCTTTCCCACATTCCTTACAATCATAGGGCTTCTCCCCAGTGTGAGTTCGTACGTGTTTAGTGAGACCTGAGCGCACAGTGAAGGCTTTCCCACATGCCTCACATTTATGGGGTTTCTCTCCTGTGTGAATTCTTACATGTTTACTTAGGTGTGAGGAAACAGTGAAGGCTTTCCCACATTCCTTACATACATAAGGTTTCTCTCCCGTGTGAGTTCGCACATGATTGTGAAGATAGGAGGAACATGCAAACGCTTTCCCACACATGTCACACTCAAAGGGGTTCTCTCCAGTGTGTGTTCGTAAATGTTTAGTGAGGCTTGTGCGCTCAGTGAAGGCTCTGCCACATTCCTTACATACATAGGGTTTTTCTCCAGTGTGAGTTCGCATATGAATGCGAAGATAAGAAGAACACGTAAATGCTTTCCCACATACCTTACATTCAAAGGGCTTTTCTCCAGTGTGTGTTCTCAAATGTGTAATTAGGGATGAAGAAGAAGCAAAAGCTTTCCCGCAATGGTCACATTCAAAGGGTCTCTCTCCTGTGTGACTTTTCATGTGTTTGATAAGGCCTGAGGATGAAGTGAAGGCTTTCTCACATTCCTTACACTCATATGGTTTCTCTCCAGTGTGAGTTGGTAAGTGTTTACTAAGGCCAGAGCGCCCTGTGAAAGCTTTGCCACAGTCCTTACATTTGTAGGGTTTTATTCCTGTGTGAACTCGAAAGTGATCATTAAGGCATGAAGAATTTCTAAAACATTTCCCACAAATCTTACATTCAAAGGGCTTTTCTTCAGTGTGGGTTTTTAAATGCTGAGTTAGTGGATAACACCTAGAAAAGGCTTTCCCACATTCCTTACATTGATAAGGTTTCTCTCCTGTATGGGTTCGCATATGAATGTTAAGATTGGCAGAATATTTAAAACTTTTCCCACATTCCTTACACTCATAGGCTTTTTTCCCAGTGTATGTTTGCACATGTGTAGCTCGGCTCCTGGAGTGGCTAAAGGCATCACCACACTGCTCCCAAAGGAACAGTTTGTCCTCACTGTGAATTCTACCCTGTGATGGAAGGTGAGACTGACTAACAAAAGTTTGCCCAAAGTCACTGCATTGAAATGCTCTGGCTTGCATACAAGTTGCCTGATAAGCGCCATTAGGAGTCACACTGCAATCTTTTCTATATTGACTGAACACAGCGAGTTTCTCTGCAGAAGTTTCCTTGTGCAGAGTAGGAAAATCATTTCCAAACTGATCATAATCCCAAGTGTTCCCTCTGTTTTGAGTACCCATGTTTGTCAGAAAGTGTGAGTGTCCTTTGAAGATTTCTCCATGTGGCTTAAAGTCATACAGCTCCTCTCCATTGTGGCAACTTGCCTATTGATTCAAAAATAAAAAATGAATGGTGAATAAGAAAATTTTCAAACTTATTTGTAGATTCCACCCATGTCAAGACAAAAACATTATGATGATTATGATTTTTGTTATTTTCAAAAAATATGTACATAGTTATTGCCCTCTGAGTTTCACTGCCTATGAGTAAAGGAACCCTACTGCAAAATGCCCATGCCATCTGCTCTGTGAAAGAATCTCTGTGGGTTTTCTTAAGATTATTTTAAACATTCAATGTCCAGTTCTGTGGGTAGTAATATATCCATGAGGAAACTCTGAATTTTTAAGGTTCTGGGCATCTCTTTAGAAACCTGCTCCCTATGGGTAAAGGTTATTTCTCCCAAATATCTCTCGCTGGCACTAATTTCCATCATGTAATGCCCATTCCTCTCTAAATGTGGAAAATAAGAAATATTCAGGGCTGAGGTTGCAGCTCAGTAGTAGACCACTTGCCTCACACGTAAGGTACTGGGTTCCATCCTCAGCAACACATAAAAATAAATAAATAAAATAAAAGTATTGTCCATCTACAATTAAGAAATAAAAGAGAAATATCCATTGTGAATCTTACCAGTTGCATCCCTCTTGTCATTTTTAACCAAAACACATCCTGTCGAAGTGCTGCCCATTCTGAAAACAGAAAAACATATAAGTGTTTCCATGATAAAATAGTCAGTTGGAAAAGTTAAAAATGATACATCTCATTTGTACCTGTTTTCATATTAATATGCTAAAAGACAAAGCCAGAATATATTCAAGTAGTTTGGCTATATCTAAAATTCAAGGGGCAAGGGAAGCAGCTTGGTATTAGCATGTATGAGGCACTGGGTTCAATTTCCAGTAACAAAATAATGACAATAATAACTAAAATAAAATAAAATTTGACAGTCATAAGGACATGGTCAAAATTTAGAAATTAATAACTTATTCTGAAAATTAAATGTCCTGTTAAACAGAAACAGTATTATTAGGAAAGGAAACTAAGAAAGGTATGAACAAAAACCATACGTGAAAAACATAAACTCAAAGAAAAAAGAACAAGTCACTGGCTGAGACTGTAAGAATGTCTGGAATAAACGGGAAGTAATGGAGTACTAGAATGTGAAGATATCCCAAAGCTTCCAAGTCCAATGGCCTCGGCCTTCTCACTCAAAGGGTATTTTTTAGTTTCCTCTGGTTAGGCAGTGGTACAGGCCTATAATCCCAGCAACTCTGAAAGCTGAGTCAGGAGGATTGAAAGTTTGAGGCAGTTTGGGCAACTTAGCAAAGACCCTATCTTATAATAAAGAATAAAAAGGGCTGGGGGTGCTACGGTTTTGGCTCAGTGGTAGAGTGCTCGCCAAGCATTCATGAGGCACTGGGTTCGATCCTCAGTACCACATAAAAATAAAATGAAGATATCGTGTCCACCTAAAACTGGAAAAATAATAATAATAAATATTTTTTTAAAAAAGGCCTGGGGATGTAGCTCAATGGTAGAGCTCCCCTGGGTTCCAACCCCAGTACTGCAAAAAATAAAGTGTCCCCAGTGGTAGAGCTTTTGCTTAACATGTTCAAGACCCTATATTCCACCCCTAGCATCATAAAAAAGAAAATTCCTTATAATACTGCAAACATAATGAACTTCCCATTGACCAGAAATATTTTTCACAAATACTTACCTTGGATGACACCTCTCTCCACTGTCCTCAACTCTTCTTCTGCCTCCAAACAAGAAATCAGGCTGGGTTTGATGAGCTGACATCCTGAACATGAGGAAGGATGCATTAATGGAAGTGGCTCATTCAAGAGATCATAAACTTTCCCATGATTTAGGATCTATGGTTCTAAAGTCAGAAGTGAAATGATTACTGAAAAAAGACTTCATATGCAAATACCCCCTCTTAATATCTGATCCCTGAAACCCAGACTGATGATTATGTAGACATTTACAAAGCACTAAATGTTAATCAAATAGGAAATAAAGTGAAACAAAAAGATTTTGTAAACATGGGGAAAATCTACATAAGTCATTCTTAAAACCTTACAGTGTATCAGATTCTATAGAGGAACTGTTAAAACACAGATGACAGAGTCCCAACTGAAGAGTTTCTGATTCAGTACCACCAAAGATGGAGGCTGAAGATGCACTTTTATGAGAGAATAATAATGAAACTATTGATCCTAGGACCACATCTTAAAAACAACCACAGTAAATAACAACATATTGGGACTGGGACTATGCCAGTTATTTTCCTCACAGTTGACATCACTGATATTGCAAAACAGTAAAAACACATTATACTTCTGTTTTATGAGATGTAGTAATGATGGCAGTCTTACCTACAGCCACCAGGTTCTGGTAGTTCTCCAGCATCACCTCTCTGTACAGGTTTCTCTGAGTTTGGTCCAGTAAAGCCCATTCCTCCTGGGTAAAGTCTAAAACCACATCCTCAAAGGTCACAGACTCCTATAACACACACATTCCAGTTTGAGCCAAGAAACATCTCCATAAAGTTCACTGAGGATGAGAATGGATAACCCAATGCCTAAACAGAGTTGGAAGTTCTCCCAATATCTACCTCAGAGTTTCATGGTTCTAGAGACTCTTTGTTTGCACACTCACCCACTATTCATCCTCTCCACTCATATGGCTTGAATGGCACACTGAAAACATGAATGTATCTCACCACAACCAGACCAGGAGCTCTTTCTCATCTTACTTTCCTCTATTAAAATATACTCCTGGCCGGGTGCCACGGCATACTGTAATCCCAGCAGCTTGGAAACCTGAGGCAAGAGGATTGCCAGTTCAAAGAGGATTGCCCCTGTCTCTAAATAAAATACAAAAAGGGCTGGGGATGTGGTTCAGTGGTTGAGTGTCCCTGGGTTCAATCCCCAGTACCCAAAAATAAAAAATTAAATTAAATTTAAAATATATATATATATATATATATATATATATTCACACATATATCACATTTTATACATTCAATAAATGATAAATAAATAAAGTCTTTCATAAAATGAAACATTCACCTTCCTATCATCTATCACAACCCTCAGCAAAATGTGAGACATGCAGTCGGTGCAAAGAAATCCCAGGACGGGCTGGGGTTGTAGCTCAGTGGTAGCATACTCGCCTAGCATGTGCTAGTCCCTGGGTTCGATCCTCAGCACCACATAAAAATAAAATAAAAATATTGTGTCTATCTACATCTAAAAAAATAGTAATAAAATATTTAAAAAAAAAAGAAATCCCAGGACAATTTTCAGGATAATTGTTCCCCAATATAAAAGGCTGTATTCTCAGGAGAAATTCAGCTTGGACTCAGTCCTTCAGGGAGACTTTATATGCTTTGAGAATCCCTGCAGACAAGAACACCTAGATGAAAATATCTACTTGGAGCAAGGAAGTATGCCATTTGGGAGGATAGTACATTCTTCCTACCTGGTAACAATTTGTCAGGCCATCAACCACCATCCTTTCTGCCTCTGTCTTTTCTTCATGAAGGCAAATGGGGTCCCTAGAAAATAAGCCTAGTAGGAAGAGGGGAAAAAAAGACATAAAAATCCAGAGGTGACCATTATTCCCACACTTACATGCCTAAAGGTCATTCCATTCTAGTTCAAAATTTCCACATAAGCCAGCCCACTCAGGAAAACATGCTAGCCCCGCCACAACCCATGTTCACAGGCACTGCGCCGTTCCTGCTGACCCCAGTACACAGGGTCCACAGTCAAACGTGCAGACTGGAGAGGATGTCCACTGTTCCCTGACCAGGCCAAAATACTTCAGTCCATTTTTCTGCTGCCGGCCTGCTTGGTGGCAAAGGGGCTGAGGTAGCCACCACAGTCCCCAGGGCTCGCCTTGCCCACATGTAGGCAGAATGGCTGGGAGCCAGGATGTATGTGGCTCGCCCAGCCMCTGCTGGTCCTGGAGCAACTTGTGTGGATGAGTAAGGACCACAGCCTTCCTGTGCCAAGGCTGGATGGTGTTTAAGTCACACAGTTAATTGCTTCAACTTTCTCTAGATGGTTTCCAGCCCTACTAGTTCAGTGCATGGTTAAAGGAGGTCTCTGTTCAGTACCTAGCCACCTATCCTACCAATATAGTCGTGGAAAAGAAAGAACACTGACTTAACAGCAATTTAGCAAATACTGCAGAAGAGTCAAAAACTTTTCAGTTTCTTGTAGATATATTACCAAAGAAGATTTCAGCTAGTAAGTACCTGAAAATGTTTAAAAAGGAAGAGCATGAGGACGATGATGACGGAAGTGAAATCTAGAAATCGCCTGGCGAGGACCCTCCTGGGTGAGCCCTGTTCCTTTGAAGCAAGCACATCACCATGTGGCTTTGGTCTCCTTTTCCAGAAACTTCCAGTACAGCATATTCCTTCATGGCTAAGACTGAGCATCTCCTGCATCTATGCCATGAAAAGCTGAAGGGAAAATAGTGCAACTGCAGTGACAGGCCACCCTGCAGCTGACACCACTATACTTCCCCTTGAACTTGCAGRCAGATTCTGAAGAGCTTCTGGATAAGCTGTGGATTTATATATGATTTATATTCTGAAATTAGTTCTTATAAAGAACTGGATTTAGTTTTAGCTAAATATGTAGTTCCTAAGTCATACATTGCTTCTCACCTCTGTTTATGTATTTTTTTTAAATTTTGACTATTCAAATTTTTTTATTGTAAAGAAATATATTTTTCTTGGGCTGAGGTTATGACTCAGTGGTAGAGCACTTGCCTAGCATGTGTGAGGCACTGGGTTTGATTCCTGGCACCAATATATAAATAAATGAACAAAAGAAAGGTTCATCAACATCTAAA